AAGAGTCTTCTGTTACTCCCAACTATAGGAAATGTACTTTGAACCATGCTCAGATTCTTCTTTGTGTCATCCATCTACTTGCATAGTCTGATTGGCATGCAGCTAGTTCTTTGGGGCCATTTCTTTGTAAAATTCTGTTTGGAGTGCGGTGTGTCTCATGCTTACCTTTTTGACTGCAATCTATTATACTGCAGTCCTAAGAAACAAAGGCAGGAAGACTCCAATTCAATCATCTTGCTGCCTGTGTTTCATGGCTTGCAATTATTATTTATTATTTATTATTTCAGCTGTTTCTCACTGTAGCAAGAAATAAGCCCCCAAGAAACAGACATGTCAACCCCTTTTTCCTGGTGAAAAACAGAGTTTGGAAAGGTTAAATGACAGGCTCAAGTTCATATAGCTTTCACTGAAACTATCTATTTATTTGAATCCTCCCTGGGCTGAACTCTTTAAAGGATCTTGTATTCATGTTTGTATCCTCAGTACTTAGTGCATAGTAAGTAATAAATAAGCATTTATTTGTTTTTTTTTTGGCTGCTCCACGAGGTGTGTGGGATTTTAGTTGCCCAACCGGGGATCAAACCCCCACCCCCTGCAGTGGAAATGCAGAGTCTTAACCACTGGACCGCCAGGGAAGTCCCAATAAGTATTATTTATGGAATCAATACATCTGGGACTTCTAATGCCTAGTGAAGGGGTTCAGAACATGCCACCCCAAAATACGCCACTTTGGCATTTATTTTGAGCTGAAGGCACTTGAGAAACAGCACATGCAGGAAGGGCTCTCTGACCTTTTTGTACCTAAAAGCAGGTCATAAAATGTCCTATGAAAAAGGTGCCCTCCTTGTACTGAGAAGAACATTCTTATCACCAGAGACTGGGATTCAACAGTGAAATGGTTCTGTACAAACAAATCTACTAAAATAACCCTTATCTCCCATTAGGTTCCCCATATATTTCCTAGTCACCGTTCCACAATTTACTGTTTGTGGCCTAAGACCATTTGTCTTGTCACATCCCCACAATTTATTGTTCTTTGTTTAAAAAGATACATAAGCTTTCAGGCTTATGGCTTCTTTGAGTCTTCATTTTCCTTTTGATGACTCCCATGTGCACATAAAAATACTGAACTAAATTTGCATGTTTTTCTCTTGTTAATCTGTCTTATGTCAGTTTAATTCTTAGGCCAGTTACAGAACCTAGGATAGTAAAGGGAAGTTTTTCCTCCTTTGCACTAGTCAAGTTCTTTTTCCACTGTACATCAACTTGCCCCCATGCAGGGTGTCTGTTGTGACCTCCATGTCAGCACAACTGGTTATCCCCTAACAATCCAGGACTATTTCAGTTTAAGGCCAACCAAGGATCCAAAGGTTTGGATTTGAGTAAACTAAGGATGTTCAGAGCTCTTTGAGAGTTATTCTGGTCCATTCTACACTTAGCTTGTAACAAGCAACATTTACTGAGGTACTGTATGGATTATGAGAGAACCAACTATAAATAGGCAAGATTCCATGTCTTGCAGCTCACCTTGGAGCAGACTGGAAACTCAGGAAAACTCTGGAAATTATAGAATCTTTTGTAAACGCATGACAGTTTTGCCTGGAGCTTTTAGAAGGTACATTAATCCCAGAGTGGTAAACCCTCATGCCTATAGGGTTGGGCAAGTAGCACACATGAATAAAGTGGATCAGGTGGAACACAATAGGGAGAGGTGAGGAGTGTGGTAAACCAGAGAACACCTGCCCTATCTAAAGGTAGCAAGAACTACCCAACTCTGGCTGAAGTGAGCATAGCAACTCAGAGATTTCTAATTTTTCCGAAACGCTAGAAATCTGTATTTATTTTAAATGTAAATTTTCTCCATTTGAAAACACAGTGCTGGCCAGACAACATATCAGCGCGTTAGCAGGATTAGCCTCTGCCCTAGATGGATTCTGGAGCCATTTCTTTCTCCTCATTCCACCCCTACCTTCTCTTTTCTTGGGACATGGCTTGGGACTGAAATGGACTGGAGATTAGGAGCTGAGGTAAGGACTGCTGCTCAGCCTTATTCCCTTCCATGGGTCTTTATCAAAAGGAGAGCTGTGCCCCATTTCATTACTCTCAGAGAATAGGGGAACTTATGTTTAGAATTACTTTCAGCTTTTGTTCAAGGATGAAGTCCTTCCTTTAAGCAGGACTGCAAGGGACTTCCCACGACAGTCTTAACATCTATCTTTTTTTTTTTTTTAATATTTATTTATTTAAGCTGAGCCAGCTTTTAGTTGCAGCATGCGGGATCTTTAGTTGCGGCATGTGAACTCTTAGTTGCATGTTCCCCGACCAGGGATCAAACCTGGGCCCTCTGCACTGGGAGTGCAGAGTGTTAGCCACTGGACCACCAGGGAAGTCCCTTAACATCTGTCTTATATACATATCCATTCATTATTATTGTTCACACAAATTTGAAAAGTATTCATTTTCTGAGTAATTGCTAGCTGGTTGTCCTGTTAATGGCCATTAAATGATGGCTTGTTACAAGCCATGATGATAAGCAGTTTATAACACAGGTATTTCTTTAAGAGTCATTCTCCCTCTGCTTTAGATTCGTATTTCCACACTCATCTTGTGGACATCAGGGGCTCTGGATGTGTATTTATCTGCTTCAGGTTGCGTGATTCTCCCACTCACCCAGTTGCTTGTTTTAGAGCTGTCTTGGTTCTGAATGCAAATATTCAGTACCTTTAAGTATTATAACCTATGCTTAATCATTTAGCCTGCTTTGTGGAAGGTTTAGGTACTCTGGAGCACTGAGCGATAAATTGTTTCTTTGTTTTTTAATTATTTAGGTTACAGCTTTGAGACTCCAGGAACTTTTGATGTCAGATATTAACAATAAACAAATTATAAGCCTGTCTTTTTTGTGGCATTGTGGTTATTACATGCTTAAATTAATTTGATAAATGTATCAGTGTATACCACTTATGTGGCATGAATACACACATGCATATACATATTTTTATCATAAATAAAAGACATGGCACTTTAAAAGATCAACATTAACTGGCTAATGTATTCCATAGATTGTAAAGAAATGAAGCTTTCATTAAATGCTTGCATTTACGATTCAGTTGGTGTGGAGAGATTTTCATTTCTGACCTAGATACTTCAAGTGGCTTGCTTCTGGGAAAAATAATAGGTAGTTAGACAACAACAACAACAGAAACCCATGTCCTAATTGGGTTTTCAGAATCCCTAAAATGTTTATTTTCATATCCATTGTTTTGAAATTGTGTCACTAGGTTAAGAAAATAGTTTTCTAGGGTAAATCAGAATTTAATTGCTAGTTTGCAAGTATCTGGTATACATGTATTGCATTTCACTTCAACCAAAATATTTTAGGTTCTATTGCAATCCTAATAAATTGGGGACCCCAAGGTTTCAGTCTCTGAAGAGTGTGGCATTTCAGAAAAACTGTTCGTAGGCAGTCTTGTCTCTTCCTCCACATTAAAAAGGAAATCTGTTCTTGTATCTCTCAAAGGATATTAAAGGGATCCAAATCAGAATCATCATATCCTTTTTTACCTTCTCCCCATTCTTTACATTTTCTTATTCACAACTAACTACCCCTTCCCCATTGCCATGCACTCCCTACCTAAACTCTCTCCCCAGTCTATATGATTTTTTATTTTATTTTTTTGCGGTACGCGGGCCTCTCACTGCTGTGGCCTCTCCCGTTGCGGAGCACGGGCTCCGGACGCACAGGCTCAGCGGCCATGGCTCACGGGCCCAGCCGCTTCGCGGCATGTAGGATCTTCCCGGACCGGGGCACGAACCCGTGTCCCCTGCATCGGCAGGCGGACTCTCAACCACTGCGCCACCAGGGAAGCAGTCTATATGATTTTTACTATCTTCCCTCCTCCCTCTCTCACAGCTCTTTATTTGTGAGTCACCTTCACCTCTTTCTCTGATTTGTTCCCTCCTTCTTTTATGTCAGTCTGAGAGATGGAAGGGAATAGGGAGGGGCCTTGGGGAGATTATGTAACTATTTTCCCTTTAATGATTTTTATCTTAACGGCATATGGCATTAAAGAGTTTTAAATCTGGCTTGCTTCAATAATATGGATTAAAATACAAAGACATTGGTATATTTGGTTCATAACTGAATGCTTTGGAGAGGATGAGATTGGGCTTTTTATCACTAAAATGGTGTTATTCTCTGAAGTGGTGTCAGTACTATCATACTACTCCATTCTGTGCCTATTAGGGCAATAAGGCTATCTAGGCTTTGTGTCTCCAAATTTTTCAACCTTTATCAATGGCAACAGAAGAATTTATCAGTGGTAATTAGAGTACTGCTCAGCCTTCAAACCGCTCCACAGTCTGGCACTGGTTCTGGTATCCTGCCTTGTCCTAGCCCTGTTCCCCATGCCGAATACATTATTTATATCTCTATTAATAGAGCAAATTGCCTTGAATTATGGATATTCATGTACACACAGTCTGCCTTAATGGATGATAAGCTCTATAGCATCTTACACATAACACAGGCTGAATAAATGACTGTTGGGCTGACTGGAACTATTTATAGACTCTCAAACTTCAGGATAAATCCATGATGTGACCTTGTTTGTTCAGTGACTAGCAGGGTAGCTGCACATGGCACGTATTTTTGAATGAGAGATAGAGCAGCAGTAAAGCTAGCATCATCAGAATTTGGAGAGTTTTCTCTCTACTAAACTCAGCAAATATTTCCTGAACGAAGATTATGTAAAAGACACTGAATGAGGTACCATGGGAAACACAAACTTAAGAATGTCTCAGTGTTCATCTCTGGGTATCTTACTGTCTTTGTGCATACAGTTTCATTTATATGGAATATAAGATGAAACAGAGAAAGCTCATTATTTCCTGGCCTGTTAAAATATCTGTAAGGTATGAATGCATATGTGTATTTGGAGTATCTTCTGTGTGGATTCACCATTTTCCTTAACTGGCATTATTTCTCAATTATTTTCTAGGGGTTACCATAAAATTGGTAAACACAATTATATACTTAATGTTTGAAAGAGGAATGAAGGGTAAACATTCCTTAGACTCTTACTACTGAGGAAACCAGACCAGCCATTCAAGTGATGAACCCTGTGACATCTAACAACTACTGGTGAGTCTTTAGTCCCAGAATGTTTCAGCTCCCTGAGCTGGATTACTTTGCTGTTGGTAACCACTAACAGATTCAAACTCCCCCTGGGAGGGTGGTCTCGGTTTTGCCAGTCTTCCTGGCCTTTATAACTTCTTTATAGTTTGGCATTTCCTCCTTGATCAAAATTCCTGTGTCTTGAAATATTCTTCAATAGCTATGTAAGCTGTGTTCCGTGAACTCTGGCTGAACTTGTGTGCAATCTTGGTGGAAACCTTGAGCTTCATGGTATCTTCTGTGTACAATCTATTTTATAGAAAAATGGAAAATTGAAACTGGAAGGGACTTTCTGGAAGTGTTAGTAATAGGACAAGAGAAGGACTAGTGCAGTGGTAATCATAGTCGGATTGTAGTGCTAGTAAAGTATAGCAGTAATCATAGTGTTATGGGCTGAATGGTGTCCCTCCTTCCACCCCTGAAATCATATGTTGAGTCCCTAACCCCCAGTACCTCAGAATGTGACTGTATTTGGAGATAAGACCTGTAAAGAAGTGATTAAGTTAAAATGAGGTTGGCAGAGTGAGTCCCAATCCAATCTGCCTGGTCTGATAAAAAGAAGAGGTTTGGATACACAGAGAAGTACTAGGATGTACACATAGCAGAAAGACCATGTGTGATGGTTAATTTTATGTACTGACCTGGCTAGACCACAAGATGCCCAGATATTTGGTCAAAATTATTCGGAATCTTTCTTTCAGGGTATTTTTGGATGAGAATTACATTTCAGTCTTCGAGTAAAGTATATTGCTCTCCATAATGGGGATGGGCCTCATCTAATCAGTTGAAGGCCCGAGTAGAATAAAAGGCTGATGTTCCCCCAAGCTAGAGAGAATTTTGGCAGCAGACTTCCTCCAGATTTTATCTATAACATCAGCTCTTCCTAGTTTGTCAGTAGACTGCCTTTAGACTCAAATTGTAACTCTTTTCCTGAGTCTCCAGGCTTCAGGCCTTCCCCCATCAGATTTTAAACTTGCCAAGCTTCCCTAATCACATGACCCAATTCCTTAAAATAAATTTGGACTCCTTGTCTCTGAGTCCAAATTTCCTCTTTTTATAAGGATGCAAATCATATTGAATTAGCCCTCCCTCCCCCACCCTGCTAATGACCTCATTTTAATTTGATTATCTCTGTAAAGACCCTGTCTCCAGATAAGACCACATTCTGAAATACTGGGGATTGGGACTTCAATGTGTAGATTTTGGGAAGACATAATTCAACCCATAACAGGTGGTGATTAAATATACTTGTTTAATCCATAACTTACTGCACATTGAAATAGAATCATGTTGAAACTAGAGGAGAAATGGATGCCTAACAAGAGATCCTAGACTTGGAAACAAGTGCAGGAGGTAATGAGAATTTAAATTATCTTCATTTGGAGAAGCTGTGAGTGTGTATTCAGCAAAGGAGCTACATTATGTTATTTGGGGACATTTTAGAAGAAGGTCCATGCATGGAGAGAACAGTGTGGGGACAGCAAAAGGAGATGGACCATGGAAGTTACATGAGGTTGTTGTGGTCACTCAGGAGCATTCAGCCCAGTTCCAGGACTTGTCCTCACTTTCATTTAGGACTCCACCCACCCTACCACCTCAAGTCATATGGTTGGTGCTGCATAATTTCCCCAGTCCTAAAGTTAAGTGTGAACATATGGCTACAGCTAAGCCAAGTGAGTTCTCTTTCTCAGGACTCTGAACACTGAATGAAGTAACTTGAGTACAAAATAACAGTAATGATTGGCATGCATTTATTAATTTCAGCAGTAGCAGTAGCCTGAAAAGAAGGTCTAGCAATTCCAGTGGTCTTGGTTCCCATCCTGACCTGGTTCTGAGTTTTTCTTCAGCCTTCCTGTAGATTTTGTATTCTTTCTGATGTAACAACTTCCTTTTGCTGAACTTGGGTTGATTTCTGATGCCTTTGATTGAAAATTTCTATTTCTTTTATTGAGGTATAATTGACATACAGCATTACATTAGTTTCAGGTGTACAACATAATGATTCAATATTTGTATATATTGTGAAATTATTACCACAATAAATCTAGTTAATGTCTGTCATCATACATTGAAATATCCTAATTGATAAAATGTTTTCTTAGTGATAATACTTGTTCTTTCAGGATTTATATAACTTGCACTAATATCTGTACATATCCTAAGATAAGAGGAAGCAATAATAAGTAGATTCATTAAACAGGCCCTTTTAAAAATTTCTTTTGGACAAGAGAAAAAAAATACACACACATATACATATGAATATATACATGTATATATAATTATAAAAATATGTTATAACAGGGCTTCCCTGGTGGCGCAGTGGTTGAGAGTCCGCCTGCCAATGCAGGGGACACGAGTTCGTGCCCCAGTCCGGGAAGATCCCACATGCCACGGAGCGGCTGGGCCCGTGAGCCATGGCCACTGAGTCTGCGTGTCTGGAGCCTGTGCTCCGCAACGGGAGAGGCCACAGCAGTGAGAGGTCCACATACCGCAAAAAAACAAAACAAAACAAACAAACAAACAAAAATATGTTATAACAATATATAAACTATATATTAAGTATATACTTTGTATTATATATTGTATATATTATAAATATATTTAAAAATATATAACATGTATTTCTTTTTTTTAATCTTAAATTAAACATATTTGGCTGAGAAGTGCTGTTTATAGTAAGATGAAGGAATGGGAAACCATGCTAGGGAATAGTGCAGAAAGGCTCAAGTGCTTGTGAAATCCAAGCCTATTGGTCTTTTTCACCCCTTTATACACACACACACACACACACACACGCACACACACAGATGTTTGTTGCCAAGTTATAATGATTGATAAGTTAAAGACTTAGTTTAATCAACAAGTGCTAGGTTGGAAAGAGGGTTGCAAACATAACTTTTCTCAGTGAATCTGCTAAAGAACAACCTGTGTCTATGTGTGTATCAAGAACAACAATGAAGTATTTAGAATTTTGTTGAGAGACATAATGACTAGTCATACTAAATCAGAACTTATGGTGGCATATAGGTATCTGTCAAATGCTTAAAAACAAAACCAAATATTTACCAAATGCTTCTTACTCTCAAGTCACTGTGCTTATCTGCAATAATATAAGGGCAAATAAGACCAGGGCTGAGGCTTGAAGGAGCCTGAAATGCAAAAATGTGAAATCTAATCATATTTGTGGAATTACAAGCATATTTTCAATTACTCCTGGGCACTAATACCATCAAACAAAGGTAAGAACTTTTGAAATTGACAGACCTTCACGATAGAGTCTAAGGAAAATTTCTTGGGCTACTAATTTTTCCTGTTCTAAACATTAAATTAGTTTTGGTTGCAAGATATATATGGTATATGCTGTAAGGGCTATGTACAATCTTCATATATTTTTTTTACATCTTTATTGGAGTATAATTGCTTTACAATGGTGTGTTAGTTTTTGCTTTATAACAAAGTGAATCAGTTATACATATGTTCCCATATCTCTTCCCTCTTGCGTCTCCCTCCCTCCCACCCTCCCTATCCCACCCCTCTAGGTGGTCACAAAGCACCGAGCTGGTCTCCCTGTGCTATGCGGCTGCTTCCCACTAGCTATCTATTTTACGTTTGGTAGTGTATATATGTCCATGCCACTCTCTCGCTTTGTCACAGCTTACTTCCCCTCCCCATATCCTCAGATCTATTCTCTAGTAGGTCTGTGTCTTTATTCCTGTTTTACCCCTAGAGATTTAAATGGGTACTTCTATCCAGAGCAACCTACCCAGAGAATTCTCTAAATTCCCTCCTCTGTTTTGCTTACTGCTATCTGATTTACTTTCCATGAGAAAAATATACATGCTGAATATGCTGCAAACATGGTAAGTCACACGGGAAGTCACATAAGAGTTGGAAAGAGACAAAATAGTGTAGTAAAAACAATGCTGACCTAGGAGTCAGGCAAGCCAGTTTCCTTAGCTAGCTGGCTTAAGTTATCACTTGGCCTTTGTGAGGCTCAATTTTCTCTGTTGTGTCACAGGAATAGTAACAATTCTTCTTTTATCTATCTCACTGAGTTGTGTAAGGCTCAAATGCAAAAATATTGTAAGTCCTGAATACCTACACAAATGTGAGTCACTATGGTTAAATGATGTCACAGATTAGAGGAACTGTGCTGAAAGATTTTCAAAGCTGCTGCTACTACTCTCTAAAAGTCTGAGTAGATAGCATTCACATATTTTTATCTTTCAGATGGGTGTGGGAGTGAGGTGGGACAGAGGAGCTAGAGGAGAGAGTCAAGTTGAATATGTGAAATTTACAACACACAATAAAATGCACTAAGACTTTGAAGGTATTCACTACATTTTTTTTAATCCCATCCCATGACATGTTTGCAATAGATTTCCTCTAATTATTCCCGAGGCAAGTGAAAACACTGAGTGATACAGGTGGCTTTAAACAATTACCTCTGAAAAAATAAAAAATGCTTTAGTTGCTGGCCCATGGAAAGAAAATTAATATAAAACAGGCAATCACAGTGTATCTTCCATTGCTTAAAATAGAATTGACCCATCCCGTAACTTCAGCCTTCATAGTAACCTTAGCTGATAAGTAGGTTTGGAGAAAAACTAAATAAACCAAGATGTACTGCTCTCCTTCCATCTCCTAACAAGAACAGAAAGTCTGAGTCATAAAATAGAGGCCCTAGCCACTAGTTAGAATTTAAGACTTGTCATTTTCTGTGGAGTCAATTCTTAAACATGGTGTATAAAAAAAAACACTCTAGGCTTTAATGACTGATGTTTTTAAGGAATGTGTATGTGTGTATGAGTGTGTGTGTGTATTCTGATATGGGCTGAGGCTGCGTTTTTGGTGATTTCCACTCTTAAAACATTTCAACCTTAACCAAAGTCACCCACTCTACTATTTTCTGGCCTTAAAAGAGGTGAAGCTAAAAAACAAGTTATTTTTGTTTTTTGTCCTGTCCC